AACATACCTATATTTTGGCCCCCCCCCAAAAAAAAAAACAAACACTTAACCCTCGCATGTGTGCTGCGTTTGCCAGCTTCTAATGTATAGGGGGGGGGGGCGGGGTCGGTTGGACCACCCCTTGCCGTTTGGCCCCTGATTGAGCTAGAGCTTCGCGGAAAAAAGAAGCGTGTTGCCCGTGACAAGAGGAAGCCGATGATGCCCAATGTTAAGGTCCTAGGTCATTGGTTGACCTTCCAGGTCAGGTCAATGACCAAAAATCGGGGAAAATCCGGCCAAACATGGGTTCGAGAAATAGGTCACAGGTCAAAGGTCACTTTGGTCAGGGTCATGAAATTTTCAGCGTAGGTGTAAAATTGATCAACTCGAGGGTACTGAAAGTGTCGTTGCGATCGGCCGCTTTTTACGCGAGTTATTCGCGAAAAACCATGGGGGGCCCATCCGACCCACCCCCTACACATGCGAGGGTTAAGAAAAATAATGTGAGAGGGTAGCGTAGTAGGTAGAGGGAAACTACCGTATCAATAAAAGTCTGTGAGCTTGATAAAAGTGTTGGTCTTGTCTTCCCCCAAAAAAGTCTTGTTACCTACTTTACCTCTCGATCGACGTGTGAAGTTATCGTGTAAGTTATCATGAAGCCGATCGCGACGAAGCTCAAGTACCCTCATGTTGACAAAGTCTGAAAATTTCATGACCCTGACCCAAGTGACCTTTGACCTGTGGCCTATTTCTCGAGACTTCGTTTGGCCATGATTGAGACCATGTTTGGCCGGAATCGCGATTCGGCGTGTGTCCCCGCGTTTGCAGTTTTTGGTGGTTTAAAACGCTCAAACATGTGAAATGATGTTGGTCCCATCAATTGTGGTAGGTGTCAATGTCACCTTAGGGTCAAGGCAGGTCATTGACCTTTGATGACCTCGGCGCTTTTTCCGAGTTTAATATGTCTCTAGGATAGTTTGTTTAGCTGATTTTAAATTTAGTATTTAGCAACTATTTCAACATTTATGAAGTAGCTTTAATGCCTTCGTAGTTCGTATCATGTTACGTAGCTGTCGGTGGTAGTAGACACCTGCTATACCCCTGCCCATAAGTACCCCTACTGGTTGACCTGACCTGACCCGACCTGACCTAAATGCATGAAGTCATTATCTATGATCCAAACTAACATGAAATTCGTGATCAGCACCCCAAAAAAAACCATTACAGCCTTACTAGAGGAGGTTCTGACTTCTGACAGGTCCTGATTTTCCCATCTTTTGGGTCTGTGACATGACCTGGGCGGTGTTTCACGGCAGGCTGTTAACCCGCGAGTTGCTGGGGGGGGGGGCGTTAAACGCCCCCACTTTTTTCGCCGGGCCATAGCATAAAAACGGCGCGCCGCAGGCACGCCAAATTTTGGGTACCTGTAGGGAATTGATTGAAGCTTATTGTGACAAATTTTCAAAAAAAAAAATCGGTCGGAAAATTTTTGAGATATCGAGGTTTTAGTGACGTCATGATTTCTGAGTTTTCGACCAAAAACGGCATATGTTCAAAAAATCATATAAAATCACAGAATAGACATACAGACATGCCGTAAACGCCATTAGACTGCCAATACCATGAACAATCAAATGGCTATCTTCGATTATTGATTATCGTTCCGCATTTTCCAAAATCTTGAACTGAATCTTGGCAATTTCTCGCGACTACTTGACGACCATGATACATGAATTTCTTAAATTGAACTTTTTGAGCTAAACACGTACACATATGATAAAATGAATGTCACCATCGTGCTCTACGCCCCAAATTACCCATAAAACATGTGTCACAGGCTGCGAATATCAGTTTTGGTTTTCGGGGATATGTGCCTACCCGGTTGACCTGACCTTGACCCTGACCTATGCTTGACTGACCCCTACAAGGAGCTGACACTCTTGTAGGCCTTATATGATGGATTGTGCACCGTTTTGACAGCGTTTATGACGAGAGGCGCCCATTGCGAAGTCCTGAAATCAATGCTACTGAAAGCCCGATTTCAGGTGTTTTACCTGACGTTGACCCGACCTGTGACCTCAAAGTTCAACTTTAAAGTACTCATCTGAAGCGTCTTGTCGCGTTCTTTCGTTTGCCGCCTCGTGCGTTTCGCTGCGCCTATTGGTTCTCGAGTTATCGGCTGGGGGCGTTTAACGCCCCCCCCCCCAGCAAACGGTGGGTGGCGAAATACCCCAGCAACTGCCGGGTTAACCCGCGCCCCGTAGGGGGGTGGGGGCGAAACTGCCCCCTGTCCTTTTCGGTCGATATCTCCTAAACGGCTGGAGATATCGCCACCAAACTTTCAGGACCCCTCCGGGCATCAATTTTACACATTGTGACCAAAAAATTTTTCCAGAGGCTATGATAGGTTGGCCACAAATGACGTCATAATGACGTCATGTTCTGTCATTTTCGACCGAAAAAAGACCTTCGCGAGAAGACCTGTCAGGCTTACAGCTTTGAAGATGCAGAAAAATGATCAAGATATAAAAGATGTTAAGTTAACAGGACTGCTACAAAACTGCTATCTCGGATTTTTGAAATTTTTGAGTTTTGACCCTCAAAAATCAAAAAAGCATTTTTTTTGGATATATTAGCCAAAAAATCCAAAACGTTTTTTAAGTTTCGAAAAACTGAAATATATGTGATAGTACCTACCGTCTTCTATCTACATACCAAATTTCAGATTGATGCTTCATTTTTTGGCCAAGTTATAGCGAAAAAAAAACAATTCAAAAATGATGACGTCAAATTTTCAAACTCAATTTCTGGCAATTCTAGACCTCGTAGAGCAAAACAAAGACCACCATTAGACTCCTCGTGACGAGCTGCATCGAATCGATACCCATATGATGCAAAAATATCAACTTTGAAGTTTGACCTAATATGACCTGACCTTGACCTGACCTTCACCAAAACGTGACCTAGGCTGGCCCCAAAGGCTGCCTAACCCACATAATCGCATTTGTCATGTAAAATGGACCAAAAACATTTATCACACGACACTTTCATATTGTGACCCCCGGTGACCTGACCTCGCTGTGACCTGACCTGGTATCAGTGACCTCATATAGCAAAGTATGTGTTTGACGAACAATGTACAATCGATGGTTTTCAATGAATTACCAATTTACTCGATTTCACAACACATTTCTTGAAATGCCTGTGAACGGTGAAAATCTTACCTTTGACCTGACCTGTGACGTCATCGGTTTGACCTAGGTCAATGAAATTTGGTCACAAGTTAGTTCCCGGGTGGGGCTATCGAACGCCGTTTGAATTTTGAAAATCGGCCGGTAACTTTCCGAGATCTTAGGGGGGAGGGCCGAAACGCCCCCCCCCCCCTACGGGTGGTAGGGTCCGCCGGTGGCCCTACGGGGCGCGGGTTAACGCTGTTGGCGCTTTTGGTTTCCATGGAGGCGTCAACAAGCCTAACCTACAACAGTACCGAAGGTTGACCTTAGCTCGCGGAATGCGCTGGCGGCGGCTGGCAGCGCGACCGTGAAACACCGCCCTGGAAGGTCAAACCAATGACCAAGGACCTCAAAATCGGGTATCATCGGCTTCCTCTCGTCACTCACGGGCAACACTGTTGTTTTTTCCATGATCTCTAGCTTGATCAGGGGCTGAACGGCAGGGGGTCCAAGTTCCAACTGACACCTCCCAACCCGCGAAGGCTGCGCCAAGCACCGACCCGGAGCGAGCTAACTGGTCGACAAAAGCAATTTGTAGTGTTTTCAAAGCAATATAAAGGCACGGGTCGGGTGCATAGGCGGCGGAACGGGGAGGGCACCGGGGCACCGTGCCCCCTTTGATTTCGGCATTTTAACCCTCGCCGGCCGAGGGGGGGGGGGGGTGGGTGCCGCCCCCCCCCCCATATGTTTTTTTTCGCGATAGCTCCGAACACGCTGGCGATAGAGAGCTGAAACTTGGCATACCTGACCTTTGATCCAAGCCGCATCTTTTGACACCAACTACATTTTTGGGTCAGGTCAGGTCACTGACCTATGATGTCATAAGTGAACCTCTGCACTGTCTTCAGATGTCGCAACTTCGCAACGCCCTCACTGCCAGAGGAGATGTCACAGGGAAATGAAACTTGCAGGATCTAGTATCCATTATGAGTCTCATAACTTGTATAGGTATCTCGGATTTTCCCTAAAGGTCATATGAGGTCAGGTCATTTTTGTGACCTCACCATTATAAGTCAATGGGGAAAAATGAAAACTGCTATTCTGGCGCCGGGAACGATCTCCAACTATCTCAAGCACACATAATCGTGATTTGATGCACTCCTTGCAAGGTTAGATGCGTCACTTTTGCAATGTTGACCTTCCGTGACGTCATTTATGACGTCATCAAGGTCATATTAGTTTTTTGTCAATAACTCCCGATCAAATTGAGCTAGCGAGTCGAGAAAGCCACCAATGGACTCAGGAAGACCTGCCGAATCGAATGGTATGCGAAATGACCTCTTTCGACCAACTTCGTGACCTGGGGGTGCTGACCTGACCTTGACCCGAGGTCAACACCCCAAGTTGACCTGACCCGGACAAAAAGTATATCATTCGACGCGCCTGAGCGAGGCGAACACGATGCTGCCAAAATCGCGGCTCTGCGGCAGTTTTTTGCGAAGTTATTCACCAAAAACTGAACCGTACCTTGGGGCACTTGACCTGACCTCAGAGGTCACCGGTTGACCTAGAACCTTAAAATCGGGTACCAATCTCTGCGTCTCGTAACGGCGCACACGCTCGTTTTTTCCGCGACGCGCTAGCTCCACCAGGGGCGAAACGGCGAGGGGGGTCGTACCCGCCCCCCCCCCCCTCGGCCGGCGCGTATGTAGAAAACCAATAGGTCCGGCGAGGGTTACCATTAGCCCTATGGGCGTGTCATGGAAAGAATGGGACCAAAAGTCGGCCATGCCCCACCCCTCCCCTTAATTGAAGGTGTTCCGCCGCTACTGGTCGGGTGGGCTACCATTTTTTTTTTTGTTGAAAAAAAATTATCGTTTCAGGGCTGTGACGAAAAATAAGTGGCCTAAATCCGATGAGAGAACAGGATTTGGGGATACCCTAGGTTTGGTTCCTTGCATGAGCTGCCCCCCCCCCCCCCAACGCAAGTCTGGATCCGCCAGTGGTCCAGCTGCAGTCCAGCCGTACCTGCAGTCCAGCAGCAGTCCAGCAGCAGTCCAGCCGTACCTGCAGTCCAGCAGCAGTCCAGCCGTACCTGCAGTTCAGCAGCAGTCCAGCCGTACCTGCAGTCCAGCAGCAGTCCGGCAGTACCTGCAGTCCAGCAGCAGTCCAGCCGTACCTGCAGTCCAGCAGCAGTCCATCCGTACCTGCAGTCCAGCAGCAGTCCAGCCGTACCTGCAGTCCAGCCGTACCTGCAGTCCAGCAGCAGTCCGGCCGTACCTGCAGTCCAGCAGCAGTCCAGCAGCAGTCCGGCCGTACCTGCAGTCCAGCAGCAGTCCAGCAGCAGTCCGGCCGTACCTGCAGTCCAGCAGCAGTCCAGCCGTACCTGCAGTCCAGCAGCAGTCCGGCCGTACCTGCAGTCCAGCAGCAGTCCAGCCGTACCTGCAGTCCAGCAGCAGCAGGTACTCGGGGTTGCAGATGTACGGCGCGTAAAAGCCGCTGTAGTAGAGGTTGTGGAACAGCCGCGCCGAGATGAAGCCGTCCGTCTCGCCGTCCGGCTCCAGCGGCTGTGGCGTCCGCTTCAGCTTGTACAGGTCGGACAGCGCGGCTGCAACAACACCGACCCGGGTTCAATTCCCGCCGCGGGAACTTTTCGCCGGGAGGGACGCTATCCCCGGATAACATAGTTACATGGTTCGAACAACATTTTCTGCTCTAGTACCAGGGTAGAAAGCCAAAGAAGTAATATTTTTCTGCATTTTCCACGTAACATTTTTACAAAATATTTCCTTATTCATGTGCAGTCGTACTCTACGATGACAGCAATTATATTTCTTAGAAAGCAATTATATTCCAATATGCACAGGGCTGTTCACGAAAAACTAACACATTTCAAAACAACTTTTTGGCCAAGTGAGAGCTCATAGACACTTCATTTGCATGTTTTTTGAAAGGCTGTTGAAAAAAAGTTTTCTGTGGGCATAACTTGCTTAACCCGTGCCGCGCTGAGGGTGGGGGGTGGGGGTTAAGCGGCTCAGATTTTTCACGAATTTCTCAAAAACGGCGGTGCTCCGTGCCGCCGTTTTTGGTACAGATGTTTATCTTTATACGATAACAATAACACGTCAAATGTATATTTAAACACACACAAAGCTTTCGGTATGAAAATACCTTGATCACTGTGTTAACAGAAATGAGGACAGAAATTGTCACCGGCAGCTTGTACAAAAATATAAAATATCACTCGAAAAATAGATCACAATCACGAGATTATCTATCGGGGTCCTGCCACTAAGCTTACTGCGCATGTTGCTAAAGTTATAAATCCAGTTCTAGTATTGATGGTATCGCGTGCTGATATGTGAGCCGCTTCTAAGATTTTTCGTGTCGTTTTTCGTGCGCCCTTCTCTAATAATCGAGTTGCTCCCCAGTTCGGTAAATGGTGAGATTGTTCGGCATGTACGACGATTGCGTTCGATGTTCGATGAAACTTAAGGTCACTTTTATGTTCTTTAACCCGCGCGGGGCTGGGGTCTCCAGCCGAACGCGCGGGGCTGGGGGGGTAAATTTTACCCCCCCCCCCTGTTATCTCCCAAACTAATGGTCCGATTTGGAAAATTCAAACGCCAATCGAAAGCTCTCATCACGAACTACTAAAAACATGTACTTAATTTTAAGTTTGAGGTCAAGGTCAAGGTCAGGTCAAGGGTACAAATTGCAAGTTCCTACAGTATCGGCCTTGCACCGTAGTTGCCGAAGAATGGAGTCATGGACTGAGACTGATCGCCCAAAACGTGTTCTTAGGCTACCAAGACAATATTCGTTGCATACAATATCATTCAGAGGTCAAGGTCAAGGTCAGGTCAGGTCAGGTCAGGTCACCAAAAAACAAAATATAGAAAAGGGCATGTGCGACACATGTTTTATGGGTCATTTTACTCATAGAATTCAATAGGCACACTCAATAAGTGATATGGACCACCTCTGGATGAATTTCAGGTCGAGGTCAGGTCAAGGTCAGGTCAAGTGAGGTCAAATTTTGAAGTTGGTTGTTAAGGCCTAAAAAGGTGTCTATCTGATGCAGTTTTTCACGGCGAATCGAATGGTGCTATTTTTGTTTCCGTACGAGGTCTAGAACTTCCAAAAAAGTCATTTTTCAAAAATTTTGTGTGTCGTGACGTCATAAAATTTTGAATAACTCCCACATTTTTGAACCGATTCTTCTAAAATTTGGTATGTAGGTGCACATAGACCACTTCTCTGACATATATTCCGTTTTTTTCGATAGACTCAAAATTTTGGATTTTATAATGATTTTCCCAAAAAAGTCAGTTTTTTGAAAAAATTTAGGCCAAAATCCAAAATTTTCAAAAAACCGAGATAGCCATTTGATAGACAAAGTAAAGTTACGTATAACCTTTTTTGTTACGTCTTGATTCCTTTAAAAATGAAGATGTTAGCGGCGTTTGAACTTTTGCCGTTTTTGAGGCTAAAATGGCGAACATGACGTCACTAAAACGTCAATTTCTCAAAAAATTCCCGACGGATTTCGCTCAAATTTTCAGGGAAGGTGTCAAATTGATGTAAGAAAAGGTACTGAAAGTTTGGCGGCGCTGCGCGCCGCCGTTTTTGAGATATCGCAAAAATTCGCGAGGGGGGGTAAAATTTACCCCCCCCCAGCCCCGCGCGGGTTAAGTCTCGTTTCGACCCCCCTCCCCGTTTCTCCCACGTAGCTTTTGTTACACCCACCACAAGGAATTTCGTATACTACACTTTTCGGAGAATCGGATGTGTCGGACGTCTCTTTCGGTCTTCGTTTAATCATCTCGTGTATCTTCGTTCCCGTGTTCGTTGCTACTCGTACGCCTGTCTTCTCAAGTGATTTAGAAATAACCTCCGCGCTCTTGAAGTTTGGAATCGATATCCATTTTCGCTTTTTCCTTCCTTGTTCTTTTTCCTTTTGTTTTGGGTTCTTCTTTATTCGTTCGGCCTTTTGCTTTTGCCGAATGAGATACCCCTTCGGGTATTTCAGTTTCGTGAAAGCGTTGTAAATATGTTTAAACTCTTCGTCCAGGAACTCCTCATCACAAATTCTCATTGCTCGTAAAAAGAAACCTATAACTATACCACTTTTCACACGTTCACTGTGGCCAGAGTAAAAATGAACATAATCTTCTTTGTTGGTTGGCTTTCTATGTACCTTAAATTTGAAACCTGTCTCTCTTCTGATGATGCACGTGTCTAAGAACGCTAGTTGGTTATTTTCTTCGTACTCGATCGTGAACTGTATTTTCGCATTGACGTCGTTCAGTTGCGCTAGTTTTTGTTCCAGATTCGTGTTTTCTGGAACGATCACTAGGACATCGTCCACATATCTCATCCATATGGAGCTGGACCCCATGACTTCGAAGAAATTTGATGCTTCCAGAGTTTCCATATATAAACAAGCGGCTACTGGGCTGAGAGGAGATCCCATAGCCAGTGTATTCTTTTGTAAGTATTCTTTTCCGTTGAATGAAAAACAGCCAAACTTCATGCACAGAGAAACTAATCTGATATAATCTTCCTTTGGAAGTGGGAGAGAATCCTCATCAGTGGTGCTTACCACTTTTTCGATTGCTTCTAGGGCACCTTGAATGGGGACGTTGGTAAAAAGGGATTTCACGTCAAAGCTTGCCATTTTCATATCCTCTACGTTTTCTATTTCTTTCAGTTTAGACATCATGTCTGATGAGTTCTTGAGGTGCGCATCGCTGATAGATCCGAGGGCCATCGACAATGGTTTTGCCAGTGTCTTAGCCAGATTGTGGGGGGCGCTCCCAATACCGGATGTAATCGGGCGCATGGGTATCCCGTCCTCATTCTACATTATCTTTATACATATTTCCCATGCATGTTGTGAAAATTTCAGACCCGGGTCCTTCAAGGTAAGGTAACCAGGTCATTTTCAGTGACCGTCGCCTTGCCCTAGAAAAAGGTCAAAGGCTCGCTATAGCTACACTGACTGAACGATTATTTTGAAACTTTCAACCATTGATGAGAATATTAGATGATATTAGCATGTATATAATGTTTATCTCATATTTTTAACATATGTGACCTAAGGTCAGGTCAATTTTGCGACACCTTCATTGTAAGTCAATGGGAGAAAACTGAAATGCGCCTCTTTTGGACGAATGCCGTTCAAAACCCTCTCAAACATCGGTCCATACGTAAACATGACACACTGAATCGGAATAATGCACCTGTGACCCCTCTGTGTGCCCCTGAGATCGTTTCAGGTCATGAACAGTCACCATCAGTTTTTTTTTGCAATAACTTTTGATAGAGACGTGCTAGAGCGGTGAAAACACCTCAGATGTGTTCAGCTCGACGATACGGATCGACTGCTTTGCAACATGACCTTTTCCGGTCAGGTCATGACCTAGTCCTAAGGTCAAATTTTAAAAATGACCCTTTAACCCTCGCCGGCACAGGGGGGGTTGATGCAACCCCCCTAAGTTTTTTCGCGAATAACTCGCGTAAAAAGCGGCCGATCGCGACGAAACTTTCAGTACCCTCGCATTGATCAATTTTACACGTTCCCTGAAAATTTCATGACCCTGACCCCAATGACCTTTGACCTGTGACCTCTTTTCCGTGACCATGTTTGACCGGAATCGCGATTCGGCGTATGTCGGCTCGCATTAGCCGCGCGTTTGCAAGCTTTTCGTGGTTTCAAACGTTCAAACATGTGATTTGATGCTGCTGCCATACATTAGGGTGGGTGTCAAGGTCACCTGAAGGTCAGGTCAGGTCATTGACCTTTGGTGACCTCGGGTGACCTCGGCTCACTTTTTCGAGTTTTACATGTTTCTAGGCTAGTTTTTGGAGCTGAATTCGAATTTAGCAACCATTTGAACATTTACGAAGTAGTTTTGGTGCCTTCGTAACATGTTACGAAGCTGCCAGAGGCGGTTGACACGTATTACGAATACCCGTCACAACCCCTACCGGTTGACCTGACCTGACCTGACCCGACCTGGTCTAAAAGCTTAAAAACATCATCTCTGATCGAAACTAACACGATATTCGTGATCAGCACCCCGGAAAACCACATAGCAGCCACACTTTACGACTTTCTAACAGGTCCCGATTTTCCCGGTTTTCGGGTCATTGACCTGACCTGGAAGGTCACCCGATGACCTAGGACCTTAAAATTGGGTATCATCGGCTTCCTCTCGTGACGGGCAACACGCTCGTTTTTTCCGCGAAGCTCTAGCTCGATCAGGGGCCAAACGCGAGGGGGGTCCGTACCAACCCCCCCCCCTTGTGCCGTCGAAGGACGCAAAATGGCCTGTGCCGGCGAGGGTTAAGGTCAAATTATAGTTCATCCGATGCGTCTCGACGAGAGGAACACGATGCTGGCAAAATAAATGTCGTCGACGGACGCCGCCCGCAGGTACCTGATTCTCGGCGGGACGCTCCTCCTCCCTCAAGACGTGGCTCGTCTGGTCCGTGCGTGGTTCAACGGAAACGGACCGCCGCCCACCAGCCGCAGGCTCCGGTTCAGGGCGGCGGTTCTCAGCGTCCTCCGGTGTCGTCCGTCCCTGACTCGGTCCGCCGTCA